TGGTCCAGCGCTCGACCTGGGCTTCGTGCGTGCCGCTAACCTTTCAAAAGTGTCCGGCGGAACTGTTAGCCGTGCTCAGCAGGAGCAGGCGTTGCAGCACCGATACGTCAAAGCCGAGCGCAGCGTTGACCTTTCGAACGCGCTCGCCTTTGCGCTTGTCGGCTCGAGCTCCAAGCTGCTCGGCCAAAACTTTCGCGCGCTCCTCCTGCGCGGGGCCTATCCGCTCATCAGCGGCATGTCGGCTTCGCCCACCGCCAGCTCGGACCTCGTGCGCCGCGCGTCGGCAGCAGCCATGAGGGAGATTGCGTTCAACACGGCGTACGGCGACGTCAAGAATTGCTTGCTCGACCATGCGGACTATATTCTCGGCTCCGCGTGCCAACGTCTCATCAGTGGTCTTGACGAGGAGCTGCGCGCTATCGCAGGTATCGACGGTCGGTCGAAGAGCGGGGCCGCGGCTGTTGCGCGTGGCGACGGTGCGGTGAATGCAGGTCAAGGCGATCGGATCGTGCTTCCACTGGTGTCAGCGCAGAGGGCGCCATTTGTGCTCGTCGAGATGATCCGCGTGCTGGGCTCCGAGGTTGTGCCGATGGTCGAGGACGCGATCGACGAGGTGCTTGATGCGCTCGACCGCTTCCATGCACACCCGTCTATCTGCGGCGGACTGTTGGCGGTGCTCGACTCGATTCTCGAGACCATGGCAGCGGAACAAACGGCGAAGCAATCATCTTCCAGCAAGGCCAGGCCGTCGCTGCTTTCAGTGCCTGATCAAAGATCGCAGACCGAGGTCGAAGACTTTGAGGCCTGGTTGGCCGCGCGTCGACGCGAGCAGGCTGCATTCGACGAGGCGGATGGCAATGCGGAGGCCAAACAGGCGGCAGACGAAAAGGGGGACAAGCCGAGCAAGAGCCAGCAGGTAGCGGCGCAGATCCTGGAAAAGGCGGCGGTGTTCCTGACGCATCCGTCGCCAGTCTTGCGAAGCCACGTGCTTGAACTGTTGCGGCATGGTGTCGAGACGCTGGCTCCCCAGGGTCGTACAGGCGAGCTGCTTCCGATCGTCAACAGTGCATGGCCGCACGTGATGACCCGTCTCGGCGCATCCTACTCGAGCGGAAGCACATCGCGCTCCTCCCAACTCACCCCGATCATCGACCTGGACCGCATCGCCATCGGTGCAGCCGGTCGAGCGCAGAGTGATGCGTTCTACGCCCAGAACGAGGCGGCACTGGTCGAAAAGGATCCGCAAGTGTGGGTTGCTGCGGCGAGGTTTGTCGAGGCGGCGGCGCAGCACGTGCCGGACTTCGTTGGCAAGCGCGTCGTCGAAGAGGCCTGGCCTCGATTCGAACAGCTGCTCACGCTGTTGCGGTGGAAGTTCCATCCTCGTTCGGGACGGGCACATGCGTCAGAGACACGCGAACGGCATGCGGTCGGTCTGGTCCATGATCTTGACACTGCACCTAGCAACCAAAAGCGCCCGTCGACTGTTCACGATCACATCCAGCCGCCGTTCATCTTGCCTTCGCCCACCGGCGTGCCGGCTCAGTTGACGCTCGCCATCGTCACGACGCTGACCAGTGTCGTCAGCAGTATCGGTGCCAGGCTACCGGACGATGCAGCGTGGAGCATCACCACCCATCCCTTCCTGCTGGATCTGCTCGATGTTCGTCAGCCACCAGCGTTGCTCTCCGCGGCTGAGAGCTTGTATGTCGAGCTCGGCCGCAGGAACGCTCCTGCGACCGTGTGGGCACTGCAGACCGCATTTCCAAAGCCGGCCGCCAAGGCTCTGCGTGAGAGCGCGCCTGTACCGTGCTTCCTCGCCCACGCACATGCCGCCGTCCAGGAGGAAACACTTCATCAAATTGTGTCTCTCTTCAAGGCCGCCTAGAAATGTCGTCCCCATCCCCTGCTCACGGCCTCTGAAGTGCAATCTCTTCATCAAACGGAAGCCTTGGTGCGTAAGTGACAAGAGGAGTTGCACCTGATGCGCGAATGACGTGGGGAAATGCAGATGAGACTGAGTTCGAGATTGCAGGGGTTTGAACGGAGTTCGGCCGGAGCCGTGGCTTGAATGCTGAGGGAATTTTGGTGGATCTGGAAAAGCGGACGTCAGGAGAGATGTCGAGCTCACGATGGTGGTAGAGAGAGAATCGAGACGATTGGGGATCAGAGGATGTCCATCGAGCTCTCGTCAGCTGCGCTCAGAAGCTGCTCGCGGTACCGCTGTTCCTCCTCGAGGTGCTCATGGACATAGTTTGCACCATCGCGAGCGCTGAATGGCTCATGCATGCTCGCATCGGATCTTTCGTCGCCATGGTTGGCATCCTCACGATCACCGTCAGTGTGAGCCACTGTCTCCTCCACGTGTGTACTGTGGTGCGCGAGTCTGGCCGAGCTCGGGCAGGCGCCAGCAGCGTCTGGCTTCCGAATATCGTCTTCGACTGCTACGAGAAGGTCGTCTTCCTCGCAAGCGCACAGAGAGAACGGAACAGGTGAGCCCTCTCCTCCGGGCTGGTTCTCGTGACCGCAGCCTGCTGGCTTTGCAGCTTCCATTTCCGAGTCGTCGCAGGACTGGCATGAGGGCGTGAGGAGCATGTTGGTGGAGATGTCGTCGCGCTGCACGGCTGTCTTCAGTTCAGGCGTGCTGACAGCCACTGCTGACTCTAGGCTCGAGTCGAAGAGGATCGACGACTCGAGCTCGTCGTCCGTGTCCATTGCATGCAACATCTCCCGGCGCACCTCACTATCTTCGAGCATGCTTCTCTGTTCGGTTGCAGAGATACGTTGCCGATAGCAGAGTTGCGCCCTGTGCGGATCGCGCAGCAGCAGCAGGACCAATCGTGCGTACTCGGACAAAGCGTATGCCTGGGCGATCCAAAGAAGAAGTGAAACGTGCCAACGCGGAGCTGAGCTACGAGCGACGGTCACTTTGCTCGTTTCCTGGCCCAGATCCAACGTGTCCAGGCGAGTATCGTAAAAGTGACAAGCAGCCCAGTACAGAAATGCTGCTGATGCTGGTACCAGGCAAGCTACGGTGAGAAGGCGCAGACGCCCATGCAAGGCCGCGGGGATGGACATTTGGAATGGTACCTTGCCCGAAAAGGCTTACAAGGAGCCGCTGAACGGCCGGATCAAGAGGTGCCAAGCGAGCAACTCAGCGCAATGGCAATGGAAGGGGAGATTGATGTCGACGATGGGCGACGCCGATCCGGACAAATATGGTCCCGATGCCGTCGAAATTGGTCGGAGCTGGTGCCGAGGCGCTCAGAGTGACGGTGGTTTAGCGAGCTGATGGCAAGGCGGCGGCGCAGATGCTTGAGACAGCAGCTGGAACGTCGCTGTCTGGCTTGCTTGCATCCGAATTTCTTCTCTCTTGCATGTCGAATCGAGTTCTAATTTCGAGCCCTCGGATCCCAACCGTGCCATCCGCCCGCCCAAATTACGCAGCTGCGGCTGAGTTCCGAGACGAGATGCGGCATGCATGTGCAGACTCAGCCAACCGCCCACCTTGTTGCAGTCGCGCAGTCACGCACTCTTGCTCTCTTTCATGATGCGGCCAAGAAAGCGGCTGACTGTTTGCGCTCATTCTCGAGAGCCACTCGCCTGGGCCCGCCGAGTTGGGAGGGAGCCGCACATTGCCGCGGCACAGGCGGCACGTGCGCACTCTGTGACTGCACCCGAAAAAAAACCACAAATTGGCCAGGGAGAGCGCAGAAGGCAATCGTCACGACCAGTCAGTTTCGCTGCCGGACTGAAGCTTTCTGAGCGCAGGCGTGCCTGAGCTAGAGCATCGCAACAATGACATTGCGCTCGCTTCGGCCTAGCACGCATGTGGAGATCGGACCCTGCGTTTGCATCGGTGGCGCCGACCGGCCCCATTTCACCCGGACGCGGGCCTGCTTCGCATGGCAAGCGACTCCACTGGCGGGCTCGTTGATCGCAGCTCACTACAACTCATCGCGGCTCATCACAATGTGCCAAGAAAGTCTCGTATCGTAGCCAGGGACGGTCATTGTCACGCTTGGTCGGACTGCTAGGCCGGAGGCGGTGTCCAGCGACTCAGACTCGCTTCGAGCGATATTGTCACGAAACCGAGCTCGATCCAGACCAAGCCTAGTTTGAAGGCAACTCCGTTCGGCAGAAGCGACTGCCCTGAGACATCGGTGGGGCGCTGCCTGGTGTGGTTTCGGCACAGTCTGTCTCTCGGGCCTGCGTGCGGAAGGTAGCATCTTCCGCCGCTCCAAGTCATGAAATGAAATGCAGCGCTGTCACATCGGGCCTGGCGGGACGGTGAGCTGCAGCGGTCGATCCGGCTGACCCGCTCAACAGCACCGACGCGCCTGCCGAGAAATTCCCAGTCCTCACGCACTGTTCGGGAATGCTCTGTCATCTTTCGATGCAGCTCAACCGAGATCTCGCCATGGTCCGGCAGCCGCCACTAAGTGCAGCTACGCCGCCCCGCCTTTACATTTTGAGCGACGAGCGTTTCTTCGCATGCATCTGCCTCGCCTGCACCTACAGCCCAAGCTCATCGTCTGCACCCACTTGCTCGTGACCTCTTCGGCCCTCGCGGCGATGGCGAAAGCACCGCAGTGGTCTGAAGACGCACCGTTCAGTGCGGCAAAGCTCGGATGCACACGCTGATCTCTCGGGCTCGCCTTGAATCTGTGGCTGATTACGACCAGACGCCAACTCTGCCTCGTCCCCGAGCTTTGAGTTGGCTTCTATCTCCAACCCGCTAGCCCTAGCCGATTTGGAGCCCCCAGCCAGGGTTCCTAGCCCAATTGAGCCAATCTCGCTTGTGCACTGGTCCAGCTCTGTCCCGCTTCCGGGGCGAATTTCTGCAGTGGGATGCCCTCCCACGCTGCCTCTTGCTCGCGTCATTGAAGCAGAATTCGAGAGGCTACCTAGCAGCCAAAGCAGCCGACCGGCTGGCCCGAGTTTCAGGCAACAGGCTAGATGGTCCCGACGAGCAGAGGCCGCGGCCAAACAGGTCCCAGCTGATGTTGGAGAAAAGCCTTCTTTCAAACCCAGGCCTCGAATTCACTGCACGCGGTCTTCTCGCCCCGCATCAGGCGCTGCCGATGAGTCCCGTCGGCCTTGTCTCACCCGCCAAGAATGTGAGCGCTGCTGCTTTCCTGCACGGCAACAAGGATGGACGTCGCAAAGTGCTTCATCAGCCACGGGACGCAGCCGAGCTCGGTTGCGGCTCATCTCGCAGCGCGATCCACAAAAACGAGTCCTCGCTTTCGCCATGCGAAGTTGTAGCCTTGGGAGATCGATCGATATCGTTCCGTTGAATGATATCGAACAAGGCGGAGTGGCCCAGTGCTGTCTTTTATTATAGGACGAGCATCAGGATGAAATTGGCAGGGGACATCTGAGCCATGGGAGAAGCAATCTTGCATAGCGTTCGCGTAAAGTGCGGGCAGGTGGTGAGCCTGCCAGATCTGACCAGTCCCCTCGTTGGGGGCATGCAGACCTCGGAGAACCCTAACAATCCGATCCAGATGTCTCGAACGGCATGGCGTCAGTCTCGAGCTCCAGTTTGAAAATCAACTTTGCTTCTCCTCCTCCGTCACGATTTCATGCGTAGCTGCGTGCTCGTCGGATCATGCGATAGAGCCCGAGTGCTGCAAACATCGCCTCGAATCGTAGCTGCTGATGACTGCCGTGCCCCTGATGGTCTAGCCGATCCGGGGCCGTGCTGGATTGGCTCGTATCCGATGTCTCAGATCGCTGGGGGCCTTGCCGTTGCCTTCGCATTCGGCCAGGCTTCCGAATCACTTGTCTGCCTTTGCCGGTGCACTTGCCCTTCCTCGGCTCTTTCCCTCCCATCCATCCGCGTTGACGCTCGAGCCGCTGGTTCCTGCCGTCGTTGCTTTCGCCAACAGTGCCTTGCACTGTCTCAGATCCAACCTGCATCTGCTGTAGCCGACGAGATTGTACTGACGCCGGCGAAAGCGTCCGGGCTTGGCAGCGCGCATTTGCAGCAGCAACGCCCGAGAGCCGGTCGCCAAAACTTGCCCGCCGCTTTACGCTTGCCTTGGCCGCCGTCGCTACGATTCTGCTTCGGATCCAGCCGAGAATCGCGGCTTGTGTCTCGCACTTCCGAGCGAGCTCAGCAGGATCGCTTCAAGGATCTGTACGTCGCCCCTTTGATTCCCGTCCTCTGAGCTATCGCGCAGGATCGTCCTGCCCTTCCGCCTGCAGGCGTAGTTTCAGCCTAGGTCGCCGAGGTCCATGTTGCCTCTTTTCGTCCATCTGCCCATCCCGCATCATTGACTCGGTCCGGTCCACGGACACGAAGATAACTTCTCAGCAAGTTGGTGTCGGCGTGACCAGCCTCACCGGTAGCCAACGCCCTTGTCCGCCGACACTTCGCATAGAGGGGTCTACTGATTTCGCGACGCTCTCTCACGCTTCCATGCGTCTGTGCGAGCATCATCGTTCCGTACCATCAGCATCTCGGCATGTCTCTTTACCCTCATTCTAGAAGCGCACCGTCGTCGACCCCACCATCGACAGCTCCGACTAAGACAGCCACGTAAGCCGCCTTGCATCATCAAAACCCGCCTGTTTCGCCTTGCTTCATCACTGCAGATACATTCTAGAACGACAACCCGCATCACCAAAACCATCACGACTCGTCTATTGGCCGAAGCGGTCGCACAAACCAAACTGTAGACCCTGGTCGTGGACTCGGACATACAGGCTCTGGTTGTGCCATCGACCACCCTGCTGATGCCACGCCCATCTTGATCAGCGCAGCACGTTTGCGAACCTGTCCCACCGCGCACAGATTGCTTCGCGTTGTGTCCTGCGCAAGGGTCAGCCGGGCCATCTGCTTTCCTCTCCTCGGCAGTCCGTCGCCCTCATTATCAGGCCCTCAACGCCGTCGTTTCCGACAATCATCCGCTATCAAGTCCAATCCATTCTCTGCCCATCCGGCGTCTCGGACCTGATCAAATCGCCGTGTGCAGCTATCATGCCCGAGATGTTGGCAGCACATTCAATGGAGGCGGTAAAGCACTCCAGAGGTACTCCGCGACCGCAGCACGGTCAAGCTCTTGCAGACAATTGGCCGCATGATTTGTGGCGTAATCTTGTTTGCTTGCGGCGCGTTTTCATCGATTCTTCGCCCACACTTCTCAGCCAAGGCCGGTTGAATAGACAACGACGGCACCAGTCCCGCCAGCATCAGCTGACGGAGAGTGAGCGGCCCGGGAGCCAAGAAAAGAACCCACCGGCACCATCTTCATCTCGGGCGCAGGAGAGCACGAGTTCAGCCCACTCATCTGGCAGCTACCTCAGCGATAGAAGCACAAAGCGGCGACTTGGCAGCGAGCCTGCCGGTGAAGCTTTGCCCATCAGCAAACGGGCCGAAAAAGTGAACGAAGGGTGAGTCGTGACCGGTTCGATGCCTCGTCTTCCTGTTTCGTAGCGTTGCCACGCACATCGCCCGCACTTCATCTTGCTGGAGGAGATGGTCCGCTTGTTCGGTTCGCCGCTCTTCATCTACAGATCCCATCAGAGACGTCTCATAGTTTTTCAGCGGGCCCACCGTGGACCCAACTAGCTGGTAACGCGGGCCGACCTGGCTTTTGGCTCGCTTTCTGCGTGGAGCCAAAGCTCGTCGAGGCAGGAGACTTTCTGTTGTCCTGCCCCTCGTAGCCTGTCAAACCTTGATAACCGGGCGGGCTCCAAACCTGAGCGTCCTTGCTCCTCTTTATGGCTCTCCCCTGCATCGCTTGGCCTATTTGCTGACTTTGGCCCTTGTCTTCGTCGCCGACCATGTCATCCTGCAGCTCTTCGCTCACCTACAAGCTCGTCTTGGTCCAGCAACCGACCATCGGATCGGCGTTCGAAGACAACTTGCTGGGGCGACTTGGCCTTGCACCTCCATTGATCGTGGAGCTCCAGGTGTTTCGAGACGGCAAGATCTCGGATGCCAATGCCGATCTTCCCTTCCTCATCTGCCAGTGCTCGCTGCTCGACGAACAGGGCAGGGTGGCAGATATGGTCGATCAGAGAGTCGGCTCTGCTTCGCAGCAGAGCCAGGAAGCAAGAACCGCACCTGCAGCCGTTTCGGCCGTGCCGAGGCGCGGTCGGAGCGTCCGAAACAAGATCAGCCATCGTGGCGGCTTGGCCGATGGAACGGTCACGCCGCTCTCGCTGGACTCGACGGAAGCATCGACAAGCAGTGCCTCGGAAGGTACCCTGACGCCCGGTACGGGAGAATCATCAGCAACGCAGCTGTCGGGACGAAACTCGCCGCAGATCGTCCGCATGCTCTATGGCACACTCGCGGCAGGGCCTCAGCAGTACAATTCGCCGAACGCCGACGAGGAGGAAAAGGCGTACTTCTTCTTTCCCGAGCTCAGCATCCGCACTCCCGGCCGCTTCAAGATCATATGCACGCTTCTGCGTCTCTCGCTACCAGGCATGGAGGCAGCCGAGGTGGGAAGCCTCGCCTCGGTCGAGACGCAGACGTTCGAGGTGGTCAAACGCACCGACTACTCGGCGCCTTACATCACCGACATCTCGCGCCACTTTGCCCGCCAGGGCGTACCGCTTCTCTTACCTCCCGGTGTCTCTGCCGAGTAGGAAAGGTTGCAGCCCTAGAGCAACATCGTCGCGCACGCCTGTCGTGCTGCGCGTCTTACCACACCCCCGATTTTACACACGCGTTCCGGTTGCGATAATGCCCAAAACAAAGCCAGTCAAGTGCCTTGATGCTGCGATTCTGTGTGATCGCTGTATTTGCGATCTCCAATGCCAAGTGCTGTCGGATGTGAGACCTTGCGAAACACACTGAGGCTGGAAAAGGGAGCGATTGAGGGCGGTGGGAGCGCCGAGCGAAAAGTGTAGCGATGCTTGGTGACCGTGTCCGTCGAGGGCCCACCGGAATTTTCTTTTTCCCCGACCCACGACCGCACTCAATTTGTGTAAGTTTGCCGACTGAGAATCCCGAAACGAAGCCTCTTCTCACTCGCAGTCACACATGAAGTCGTGTCGAGAGACAAAAGTGGATTGCTGTCAGAGCGTGCCTCAGGCTCAGTCGTTGTCGCGCTCGTCAGAGTCGGCCTGTTCCTGCCTGCGTCGAACGTCGTTTCGCACGGGCACCTGGATGCCTTGCCTAGCCAAGCACTTGGCCAGCTCCGTCGACTCGGTCATGCCCGGGAAGCGACGGGGACTGTAGATGGCAAATGGCTCGGTGAGCGCTTCTGCCAACACCTGCCCTCCGGGACTTGAAGGGTCACCTGGACCGAGCGCGATGAGCTTGAAGGTGAGGCGAAAGTGACCCTCCTGTCGAATGCTCAGGTCTGTAAAGACAAAGAAGCACGCACGCGAGCCGTCGAGGTCGCGCGCCACGTTGGCACTAGCCACCAGCCGGCCTTCGAGCATTCGCGTGAATGGATGGGCGGCGGCATTCGACTCGACCAGCACCGACTCGGCGTGCGTGCCTGTTGCCATATCTTGCTTGCACAGCGAGACTTGCACTATCAAGTTCGGGCTGTTTTCAGCACTGCTTGTCGGAGAAGCCGCGAGATGATCAATGCCAGGACGGGTCAGTAATTGGTAGGATGGAGGAGTATGGACGCTAGTGGGTACTCACTCTTCGTCTTCGGTGCCGTCCCTCCTGAGTATGCGTAGCTGAAGGATTGGGAGCGGGTCCAGAGGGCGCTTGTCCTTGCTTCCCAGCCCACATAGACGACCTTGCTGCGGCTGCTGGCGGATGATGAGCTTGTATGTTCTGTATGTGCACGAGAGGTGAGGCGACGTGGATGCTCAGCAAGTCTACCCGACTAACGCCTTGAAAGAAGCAGAGTGTGTACGAGCCATACCTCTCCTTGATGGAATGCTGCGGAAGCCCCGTCAGCATGGGCGGCGGAGCCGAAGGCCCAGTACGCAGATCCTGCAAGCCAGCGATCGTGCTGCTCGATGCCGACGAGCCTGCTCGTGGCGTCTGCGACTGTGTGCTTCGAGACGATGGACTGAGCCCTTTGCCTGCTCGGTGAGAAGAGCTGTTCTGTGCCGATTCAGGCGCGAGCTCTCCAGCCAGTGTCTCGACTCGATGCGGAGCAGCATCAGATGCTTTTAGGGATGCTGTCGTCAGAGACTCTACTGTGATACTGGGACTTTGATGCGCGTGGCCTCGGAGCGAAGGTTGTTTACTGCCAGAGAAAGACATCTTTTGGTCGTCGATGTCGTCTAGAAAGCGGCAAGAAGGTCAAGGTCGACGTCCTTAAAGAGGAGCGGACCGGTGGCGCCAGGTCTACGGTCCCAGCGACCGGCTCGATGACAACTTCGTTGGCGTGACAAGGCAGGGAGAGACTTACCTGGTCTGATCTCTCGATCGGAACGACGAGTGTGTATGCGCTCTGCAGTGGCTGGTGGAGTAGAGCTGGCGACCGCATCGTGCGCAGAAGTGTCGGCTCGAGGATGGCGAGCTTGGCGAGGATGGCGAGCTTGGGAGCCAGATGCCTGGTCTCGCTCTCCCAGCGACATGTTGAATGGGCCTGTCGCAGCTGAGCAGACGTTGAGATGTAGTCTGGCAGCGCGTTGTCGAGTGTCGAAGCAGCAGGACTGCAGGATCAGAGAGTGTGATGGCGACTGATGTCTGCTGGATGCATCGCGGTCGAAGGCGGGTCGGGCGGAAAGCAAAGAGCGCTGGTCGTCTCCACCAGCAAGAAGAGGCTTTTGGCTCGCGCTAACGTAGCGAGGCAGTGCGAACGACTAGAGGAAAGTAGAGATATGAAAGGGCGGAAGGGTGAGCTGCCAGGCGCGGTGGAAGGAAGAGCAAAGTGCCGTTCACTTCATGCGGTCACCAGGGGCCGAGAGGAAGAGGACGCAGCATGCCGGCGTTCGAATCAGAGGAGGGTGGCTTGGCGAGCCGTCTGAAGATAAAGGGCGAGTGCGAGGGGTCAAGGGGGAAGACGGTCTCTGGAGGGAAGCAAGAGGGGAAGAGGGAGAATGGGAAGGAGGGGCGTTTGGGCGGAATTCGGCTCGGAACGCGAGGGCCAGCAAGAGAGTCGCACGTTTGGAGACGCAGGTAGGCTGCATCTGGGCGACAGGAGGAAGGAAGCGGCAACGTCCGTCCGAGCGACGCCGCCGCCTCTCTCAAGGACGGTTGGCCATGCCTGCGAACCAAGGCAGCGGTTTGACAACTCGACATGTGCGAGCGGGGTCTCATGCGGCCTGGACCCAGCCCGCCAGGGCTTGGCTCGAATTCACGTCGGCGGCCACGCACCGTCCAGGCCGAGGATCACAGCAGCACGAGCCTTCGCGAGCTCTCCATGCGAGACAGCGCATAGTGTCGGAAGACCGAAGGTACGCGGGTGTAGGTGGGGAAAATGCGCACAGCCTCTCCCGAGAGGACTGGCTGAGTGCACTCTCTGCAAACTTTGCGGCAGTTGCACCCTTTGAGCATGAGCAGAATGCTACCGGAGAAGCAAGGCGATAATAGACGCAGATCGTCGGCCGTGATGCCAATCGGCTAGCTATCAAGCCTGCTCTGGTCTTCCTTATCGGGTGCTGGCCGATCGAAGTTGGATCCAGGACAGCGCGGACAAGAACGGGCTGAGACCGAAGCGTAGCAAACGACGGCTGCCATGCTCCAGTCTCGTCGAAGCTGATACAGGACGGCGCGACTAGACGCCAAGACGACGCGTCGAGGCGGCCCGGTGCACCGGCCAAAGCAACGCCGCGGAATGCTCTGCGGCTGAGCCAATCTTGCGGATGACAAAGCATAGAATCCTCTCACTCTCATTCCGACCTAGCTCGAGACCTCTGCTGAGTTGGGACGACAATGCATCTGAACATCGACAGGAACTGCGCAGAACGGGAAAGGAAAAGGGAGGCACAATGTCTACTCACCCGAAAGGAAAAGGTTACGATCGTGACACTGTCGCTGTGTGTGAGTGTGCGAGAGGGAGAGTGGAGCGGATGTGGTCCAAGCCTCTGCGGTCTCGAAGGGCAGGCGATCAAGTTCTGCTCCACAGAGTGTGCGGAGCGGTGGGGCTTTCACCCTCTTTCGATCTTTGGATCCAATGCGAAATAGAGAGACGGCAAAGCAGCGGGAAGCTGAAGAGAAGCAGAAAGGCATATGCGAGCAGGTCAGTTCCGCGTGGTTTGGGTGCCGCAACGGCAGGAGATGGAGTGAGAAATAGAAGGTTCACGCTACAAATGGCTGCGCAGGTGCATGCATGCAGTCGCAAGGTTCGAGGCCGAAATTTGCCCTCGAGCCTCAACTGGACCTGAATGAAGGGCGTACCGAGATGATCATCATTCGCTTGACGGTGGCACGCGGCATGCAGCAGAGTCGCCGTCCTTGGCTCTTGCTCACTCGGCAAGAAACTCGAGTCTCACGTCATGCCAGATGAGGCGAGAGAGTCGAGTCTAGGTCAACCGAGCCCCGCAGAAGTGGGAACAAGTGATCAGGTCCTGATAGCTCGGAAGAGCCGAGCGCGGCAATGCAAAACGGATGAAGCACCCGAGGCAAAGGCAACGACGAGGTCAAAGACTGCCGGTAGACAGCGACAGCAGAGCCGACGTTTCGTAGCGAGACAGCTTTCCAAAGGCACGAGAGCCCGGAAGTGCAAGACTCGCTCGGCTTCCGCTCAGGTCCACTCGAGGCCGACGTACCTTGAATGCGGTCAATCGCAGCAGGAGACGCGAAATCACGGGGAAGGGGTAGCAGCAGCGGCAGATGCAGAAGGGTGGAGGCCACGCGCACCAGCAAGAACAGGAAGATCAAGGGCTGTTGAAAAGAGAATTCCGAGAGGCGAAGCTAGACAAACCTCCAAAGACGTGCAGATGGGTGCAGATGAGGGTGCCGCGTCGGTCTAGCCGATGCGTTGGAGCAGCAGGGCATGAACCGTAGTTGCAGCGGAGGAAAGCGAGAGCGTCGACGCGATCCGCTGCTGCAGTCGAGATGGCCCGGGCGTGCCACTCGGATCCCGCGGAAGTCTCATGGGAAAGCAGCGGTGCTGACCGACTCTGACGGCGGCAGAGCTGCATGGATCTGGAGGGCCGAGGCGTCGGCTGTGCCGAGATGCACGAGTTCGCGTTCACGGACCGTGTCATTTGGAGCGTGCGCGAGAGTTTTGCGGACTTGAAACGAAAGTTTTGCGCAAGAACGCAGCTGGCAACGACCTCAGGCTCTCTCGCCGATCCTCGCCGGAACGGAACAGGGTGACTAGCAGAACGACCACTTCGGCGGCACTTACCTTGCAAAAGTGGAAGAGGTCCCCGTCGTTTGTTTGTAAGGAAGCGAAGAGAACGCGGACGGTTGGGGCGCCGCTCAAGTGGGACTCGGCCAGGTCCGAAGATCGGCCGCAGTGGGCAACACCCTTGGACACCCTTCAGACCGGTCGGAGTCTCGAGTCTGGCTGGTGGATTGCGGTTCTTGTCGACGGCTTGGCCAGACGGAGATGAGGACGCGGCTTCCGAGCTGCGATCGACGGGCGGGGAGGCAAGGTTTTGAATGTAAAGAAAGTTTGAATGTCGCGTGCACAATGAGCTGATGAAGCGGCAAATGAGAAGCCAGAGGATGCCGCGGGTCCCAGCGTTGGTGATGGAGAGGCAAACGACGAGTGGCCGCTGACGCTGCTCGCGGCTCGCTGCCGAAAGCCGACAAGGTTTGACCGTCTAGATCCGCGAATCGCGCCTCCGTACAGGTTTCATTTCATGCTTTGCCAACCTTCCGCCCCAATCACCAATACGGCAGCCGCACCACGACTGCACGCTGCGATCCGCCCCGGCTGCCTTGCTCGCTCACTACAGTAGCTCGTTCGCCGTCCTCTTTCCAGCGAGCTGCGAAGCTCGGGCCCGCCATCGCATCCAGTCCGGCCATCGCTTCCTCGCCGCCGCCTCGGCGAAGTGGGCTGGCGTTGGGAGCGGATGCAGTGTGGGTTGACCAACAGCATCAGTGAGCTGTACCGCCCACCAACCGCCTCCCACTCAACGGTACCGTCTGCACGCGAGCTGCACCTGACCCGCCGACTCAATCTTGGCGTCTCGGGCCTTCGTCCAAACCTTAAAAAGTTCAAATGCAAAGCGGAGTCGACGAGGCCGCTGGTCTGTCTGCTATAGACGGCAATCCCCACCAGGCCGCTGCAGCAACGCGGCTCTGTTGGCCTGGCGCAGCAGGCCGAGTCGAATCTCCAGCGCCATTTGGCCTCCTCGATGCAGCAGCTCTCAGCCTGGAGGGTGAAGAGAGAGAGAGAGGCGCGCGGCGACACGCGTAGCTGCATTTTCGTCGGCTCGCCCGTGCATGCGCCAGCCTGACGGAATTTTCGCCATCTGATCAATAGTGATGCCTCGCCTTGGTCCAGCAAGACCCTCGTTTTTCCAATTTGACACGCTGACGTACGGCGCCATGCTTGCTCATCCTTGCATGGCGGCCGCACAGCCGAGCTCCAACAGAGCCTCTCGCCGAGATGCCCGAACCCATCGTCGCCGCGAAATTGACCACTCTGCAGGCCGCGTCGGTGGCCAAACCGATCTTCACCGACATCCCGTGTTGGGGCGCGTGTGGACCAGCGGAGTTTCGGAACCTGGTTTGCTCAGCCTGTGCCACGCACCCCCTCCTCTCTCTCCCTTGCCTCTCTGCCTTGCCTCTCTCCCTCTTACGTGCTCTTCCGGTATCAGCCAGTACTGGTTAGAGGTCGGACAGCGTTGGCCAGGGTCAGCATCAGGTCAAACCCGTGCCGCACTTTGACTACGTACGGGTCGATCTCATTGACCTTCAGCACGCCTTTCGAGCTCGAACGAAGACGGGCATCCGGCTTGCCGATAATTCCAACGGAAGCTGTCTACACTTTTCGGTTTCGGCACCGGGTCCGAGCGCGGTTCTTCCTGTGTTTCAACTCAGACTCCGCAAAGCCGGTGGTCATGGCGTACAGTGCTGTGTTGTGCAGGGTTCAAGGGCGCAAGTCCGATGGTATCTTGGAATGAGCGGTCAGAGACACCGGATGTGGGTCTTTTTCAACTTGACCCTGTGATAGTCGCTCGTCTAGCAGCCGCGGAAAAAGCGCGTCACCAGCCCTTATCCATCGCCAACGCAGCCGAGCCCAGCTTTACAAACGCTGGCATTCAAGTCGACACCAAGTGCAGCTCAAAGCGGCCTCGCTTAGCTTTGGCGAAGACGCCGAAGCCAGCTGACCAGGTAGCGTCCTCCCCGGCGTTCAAGCCTTGTCAGTCTCTTCCACCCGACCGGACCCTCTGACCCTTCTTGGCGTCACACAACCGTCGGAGCAAACCGCGTCGCCTTCGCAGCGCTTGCCTCTGCTCCAAATCCTGACCTACTCCACCTTGTGCCAGCTCAGATTCGTCCGACCAACGCTCGCCAACATCTTGGCTTCCTTCATTCCGCGCTCGCTGGCAATCTGAGCATGTTTTGGTAGCACCTCATGCAGTTGGACCATGGACACGAAAGCGGACCGGCTACAGTCTACTGGAAGCAGGCATTCTGATCTTGCCTTCGCGCCTCGCCCTTCCGTCTCCAGACCTTTTCGCCTCGATCCGCTGTCCAGGATGCTCTCAACCCCGATCTCCGCTCACGACAAAGGCTTGAAGCGGCCCTCAATCACGCCAAACATGCACAGTGAACGTCCATGAGTTTTGATTCCATCGCCCTCTCTATGCGAAATTTGAGAGCCAGGGCGCATCAGCATCGTCGTAGGCTCACGGAGAGTCCAGATCGCGGTCGCTATCGGGACTGGAAGCGCGACTGGAGGACGGAGGCGAGTTGCCGGTGCTCGACCAGCCAGACGCAGGCTCTGCCGTACTCACACCCGCGCCGCTTCGCAGGTTCAGCGACCACTCGGGTGCCTCGTCGCTCGACGAGTCGCTCGAGTCGTCGTCCTCGGCCGGAGTGAGCTGGTTCTGCAGCCCCGACGTGCTCGCCTCGGCGCTCTGCGATGCACTCGACGCCTTGGACTTGGCGGCCTCCTGGAACTTTTGCCTCGACTTGCCACCGATCGGCCTCGTCGTCCGCCGGCGATAGAAGAGCAAGTACGCCGAAGCGCTCTTGACGCTCTCGGGGTTCGCCACGGGCCGCACGCTCGAGTCGTCGAACTCGTACCACTTGCCATCCGCCGGGCTCTTTGCAAACGCCGTGTAGTGCCCACCGCCAAGCCCGCCAAAGTGGTTGTCCACCGCGTACAGGTCGTAGATCGGCTTGTCCACCGCCACCGCATCGTCGTTGTCTTCGAGCGGACGCAGAATGCCCGAGCCCAGCATGCTCTCCGAGAGCTCCTCGCCGCTCTGCTTGGCCTCCTCCTGCACGCGCCGCAGCGCCTGCGTGCCCTCGACCCGATCCGTCAGATCCAGTCCCTCGAGCGGGAAGTCGACGAGCATGTTGAGCTTGTCGCGCGAGTGGCGCCCCGCGCTGAAACGCTTCAGATGCACGACCAGGATGTCCGGTGCTTTCCAGAGATCGAATTTCTTGGTCGCCTGTCGGAACTCCTTGCATGATGGGCAGTACCACGGATCGTCCTCTCCGAGCTGCTCCTCCTTGGTAAATTCGTCCATGCAGTCCTCGATCGACAGCGACTTGGGGCGCGAGGGGCCGGCCGAGTCGCGCTCGCGGATGGCCTCGTCGACCACTTGCTCGTACTCTCCCCACAGCTGGCCGGAATCGGATTCGACCAGCAGGTCGCGTTCGCAGAAGGCGGACGACCACGTGCACACGATCGCGCCGCCAGTGTAGACCAATGGAATCGCCTTGGACGCCTTGGGTGCGGCCTGGGACTCGTCATCGCCCTCGTCCATGTCCTCCTCGTTCGCCTCGGCTGGCGTTGCGAGAGCACGCTTGGCAAGGCGCGCCTGCCGTTCCGTGATCTCCTCCGAGAGGTGGTCTGCGCCGCTTTCGCTGCCCTTGGGAAGACCTTGACCGGCTTCGGCGACGCTGAAACGGATGCGGAGCGACGGTTCGGACTGCACAGGAGCTTTGCTGGCAGACGGCGAAACGTCGGTGCTTGATGCACTAGCGTCGGGCACCACAACAGCATTGCCATCTTCGTGAATCTCGGTGACCGCATCTGGGCCGACCGGTTGGCTCGGTGATACGACCTCGACGTTGGCCTCGTTTGCGGCATCGTCGTCGACCATTTCCCAGTCCGAAATTTGAGCCTGAGCGGATGTCTCGGCTGGCGCAAGGCGTGCGGCATCTTCGCTTTGCTCTTCAACAGCCTTTCGATACGCATCCTGGTCGCGCGCGAAGCGAGAGAAGCCGTCGGTGACGAGCTTGCGCACGGCGTTGAGATCGTCGATGTCCTGCTTTGGCACAGCGATGAAGAAGGGGATGCCTACCGGCTCGCCCCGAGTTCGGCGGCTGACAAAGGCCTGGCTCGACGAGGCGCAGGCAATTCTTTGGGCATAGTTGGCAAAGACCGGCACGATGGCATGGTCTGCCTCGGGAATGTCGAGCGCCTCCTCGGCGTCCTCGACGGAGCGATGGTAGCGGTAGTGGCGCTGCTTGGAGAGGCGCGGCGCAGCAGGGACCTCCCAGAAGTAGACAAAGTCGCCGTCCTTGATGTCGACGAGCGGCTCGTAATCGTCGATCCACTTGTAGATGCGGTGATGCCAGACCTCGCCACAGATCAACTGGCGCGTCTCGACGCCAAACTGCGCGGCCACCTTCTGGCGAAGCTTGCTGACAGTGCTGCCGGCTGGAAGCTGGACGTGGAACTTTTGCATGGGCTTGGTGGGCTCGAGCGGCACAAAGTAGACCTGTGCGCGCCAGACCTTCTTGTTGGGGATGGGCAGCGTGAGGTACATGAATGGATCAAACTTGATCGAGATCTTGCTACACTCTGGGCAGACGAGTGTGCTGCGGTACTGGCCCTGGAAGAGATCGACGATGACCGAGTCGTTGCGTGCCTTGTAGATGTCCCACTGACGCTTTGCAAAAGCGACGAGCGCCTTTTCGTCGCCGCCGGCCCAGTCGGGCGCCTCGATGTAGGGTTTCTTGAGGATGCGGTTGAGATCCTCGTGAAGGCCATCGAGCAAGAATGCAAGCAGCTCCTGACTATCGTGCTGTGCGTAGCCGCTGAACTGGGGAGCAAAGCGCGAGAGGGCGAACTTGAACTCGCGAGGCCAGAAGGAGCCGCCCTGGCCGTTCCAGATGTTGGAGATGAGGTTTCCGAAGGCTTCTGCGATGGCGCCGCCCATGCCGAGCGGGTTGTCGGTGTTGAGCTCATCGCGATACGCGCCCGAGACAAAGTACTGCTGCAATTCGTACGTGTTGCTTAGGCACTGCAGCGCACTGTTCATGAAGCACGTGTTGCCGAGGTTGTTGAGGCCGCGCAATCCGCGCGACCTGCCCATGGTTCGATCGGTCGCTGTTTGCGAACGCGTGACTCGACCAAGAGCATCGGGCGCGGCGCCAGCAGCGGTGACGCTGGTGCTGCTCGCGCTGGGCTGTCGCAGGTTGCTGAAAAAGTCGCCGCTCTGCTGTGCAAAGATGCCTTTGACCGAGGGCGCCTCCTCGGCGGGCCCTTCCGACTGCCACCTTCCAGACTTGCGCGTCTCGACAACCAAATTGACCTCGATCTCGTCGATGCCGATCGACTTGAGCGTGACGTCGGAGCGGTAGGCGTCGGGCTTGTCTTCATTGGCATCGATGAGGTCGACGCCGTCGAGCTCGATCCGACTGATGGTCACCCGGCCGGATTGCAGCTCGCTGTCTTCGGGCTCGGGGAAGTGGTAGAAGCGCAGATCGGCATCGGCAAGGTCGCCGAGGTCGAAGGTGGCCTTGGCCTTGGCCTTGAGCTCGGACAGCTCGGTGCTGACGGACAAGCTGAACAAGGGCGCGGGGTTGACGTCGTTTTTGGTGTCGTCCTGGACCACGAGGAGCAGTCGGATGACGGGCGGGTAGAACTCGACACTCTCCTGGCCGGGACTGAGACCTTCGATGGCGTTTCTGGCAAAGACGGGACCGGTGCAGCCGTACCAGGCGACGAGAAGCTTCCAGCCTTGCTCGGGAAGCATCTCGTAGTCGGTGTGTTCGTTGATGTGCTGTCGCAGCTGTGCGAATCCGGTTGGCGCCTCGGAGTCCAAGAGGTCGGCGTTGTCGATGGGGCCGACAGGTGGGTCTGCCTTCTCTGATGGATCCGCGTCGCGATGCTCCGAACAAGCGGCATCCCAGCGACGGTACCACGCTCGGCTGACGATGTACCAGGTGTCGCCGGCGTGCAAGGGGAGATTCCTCATGGGTGAAACGATATTAAGCTGCTGTTGGCCTGTGGGTCTTGGCTCGTTGCTAGGCGCCAGGGACGAGGGAGGCAGAGGCACAGCCTCCTGGTACGAGGGCGGCTCTTCGTCGTGGCTCAGATCGGCAGACATGGCAGCGACCGAGGCGGGTGCGGCGACCGCACCGTCGGCCACAGCACCGTCGTCGAGACTGAGGGACTGCTCGGTCATGAGACCCTCAACGTTGGGGTCGAGTGATGCCATGACGATGCCACTTCCAAAAGGGCGTGCTGAATGGAGCAGTTCGGCTGACGAGACGCTCTGGCGGAGTGGTGTGGGCTGCACGGACGACGTGTGTTCGGTGAGGTCGAGATCGCCTAAGTCGCTAGCGGATCGGGAGTAAGCGGACCTGTTGTCGTTCTCAACGTCGCTGCTATTGTCGTCGATGATGGGGCTGGCGGTGCGCGCTCGCTTGTATGCGCTCGACTTGCGGGGATCCGTGGCGGAGAGTGTGGTGGGGAAGCGCGGGCTAGGTTTGTGCTCGGGGCTGGCGTGCGGCGAGGGTGGTGGACGGCGCGCCGAGGAGGAGCTGGAGTGGTATGATGATGAAGGGTCTGCGTCGATGGGTGGGGTGATGTGCGTGGTGGTGATATCGGGTGCTGGCTGGTGGGATGCGGTGTTGTCGAAGCTGGAATCGGAACGCATCGGCCCGAGGGTGCTGCCAAGGCGAGAGACAGGAGATGAGCTGCCCGTTTGGGTGCACTTTTGGGTCAGCGCAGCATGGACTGGAGGGTGTCAAGTCGACTGTGATGACAGTGCGGCGGGGCGAGGACCGCCAGGATGAATGCAGAGCCAGATGGAAGAGGGAGGGTGTGGAGGCCGAGATGAAGGAAGCGCTCGAACAAAAACGTGCGTAGCGAGCGGAGAGCGTTCAAACGGCTGATCGTCCGTTTTGGCTGGGCCGCCTCGGTCTGTGCTTTTTGGCGGCTGCTCCTCAAACCAACAGAAAAAGAAAAAAAAATCCTCCCTCGGTTGGATTTCGGTTGCGGTGAGGCAAAGCTCAGCGGGCCGACGTGACGCGGCCAAATGGATGTCGCACGCTACTCACTCGGCCAGCTCAGTAGTCACTCGAGCGAGAGACCAGCCGTGCATTGAGCTCGTCACACTTTGTGACTGCAGCATCGGCCAAGGACGGAGTGCTCGCCATGAAGGCGTAGTGTGTGAGATTTGAGTGCAGAGTTGAAACAAAGCGCAGTGAATCACGGCCCAGCAGGGGTGCGTCGCCAGGCATTCTCGCCCATAAAGGCTTTTGCAGCTGCCTGCGGATCGTCGGGAAAGCGAATGAAGAGGCCCTGCAGTTCGGCCATGCTCACTCCCCCTGATGCTGCCGGTGCTGGGCGCAGAGCTCGTTGCAGATCCGTCGTCGAAGAAGCGCCCGTCGCATCCGGGTTCGATTGGCTCGCTGGCGGCGCGGGAGCAGCCAAGGGCCTACCGTCGAGGCCCAGTCCCACAGCTGCTCGTCTCTGCTGTGCTTCTGCCACGACGATTTGGCCGAATTCGTTGGCGAGCTGGCTCAGTCGGGCATCCGTCTGCTCGACAGCCTCGCGAAGACCAGCCACAGCTTCGAGACTCTTGTAGGCGATCTCGGTGGATGCATGATCGGTCGCCTCGGCAGCCTGCGTGAGGAGCGGCTTGGCAGCCTCGATGGCCGCGGGAGGCAGCTCGAGGCTCTTGAGCGCCATCTCTCGCATGGTGGTGCGGTAGAATCGCATCATGAGCTCCACCACCTGCTCCTCCTCGGCATCGCCCAGCTCGGCTATCATGTCCACACGTCCCGGTCGAATAAGCGCCGGATCGAGCCGCTCGATGTGGTTCGTCGTCATAAAGATGATGCGGCTCTCGCCGCTCGCAACGCCGTCCAGAGCGTTGAGAAGACCCGAAAACGTCACCGACGCTTGGTAGCCATCCTCTGCCGCCTGCTGCCGTCCCAAAAACGCAGCATCCACGTCTTCGAGCAGCAATATGGAGCGGTCCGGAGCATTGGAAAGCAGGTGGTTCAACTTGTCGTCCGTCAGTCCTCGTTCCGAAAGGTTGAGCAGGCAAATGTTGAAGTCCAGATGCCCTGCTAGTGCCGTGATGAACGACGATTTGCCACTTCCAGGAGCACCGTGCAGCAAGTAGCCTCTTCGATACGGAATACCACGCTCAGCGTACCAGCGGTCGCGCTCGAGGAACCTCTTGACGTCGTCTACGATCGCCTCCTTCTTTCCTCTGCCCAGCACCACGCTTCCCAGCTCCCTCGTGCGCCTCGGCTGGCCGAACGGCCGCCACTCAGGGCCCCAGCTCGTGTAGATCACTGTCTTGCCCTCTGTCGATGACAGTGCCAGCTGCCGTGCCTCGTCCAGCATCTGCGGAAACAGATGGGCGTAGGCAAAGAGCGTCGTAAGCGTCACCGTCTCCCACGGCGCGCCCGTCGTGAGATCGACCATCTTGCCGTCGCGTTCACGCGTCAGTCGCATCCATACCCCTCGGTAGCGGAACCAGTGGGTGCCCGGACCTGGGACGAGCGAAAAGCTCGCCTTGCCCCGTTCCTCCGCGTTGGACGTCGATGCCGACGCATGCGGCGTGTAGTTGGTTTCCACCGAGAGCTCGTGGCTGAGGATGCGCACGGGCGAGACCAGAGAGCCGCTCGATGCTATCATCAGCGGATTATCCACGCCACCTTTCGAGCTCGAGCCAGGCCGTTGCTCGCCAGATCGATCGCGCAGTCCGAGAAAGTCCACGAGCCCCTCCTTCTTCGGCTTGCCAAGCAGTCCGCGCTCGCGCATCGACTGCGCGCGTGATTGCGCCGCCATCCAGTGCAGGAACCAAGGATGCGCTCGATCTTTGGATGGGATCTCGAGTGATATGAGCAGTCGCCTCTGTGCTGTCGATGCTGCCACCTTGACGCCCCTGCGAAGCATGGCGACCGCACCACCAAACACCATCAATCCCAGTCCTCCCGAGAAGATCGGATTGTCGGCAATCATGCTGGATATCAACGAGTTCGAGCCCGAGCTCGGATCAGCTACCGTGCTTGTGCTCGATACTGGTCTCTGAAGGTCGCTGCTCCCCTTGGCAGAAGCTGACCCTTCGCTGCCGGAAGGCTGATAGGACGAGGAGGATGCATCCTGCGCCGGCTGCGAACGCAGCGCATCGTCGTCTTTGAGCGGCGATGCAGGCTCGTTCTTCTTCATGGTCCGGAAGTTGAACATGGTGTCGGATATCCACGGGCCTAGTGCATGACGGAAGTGCTGGTCATGGCTCAGCAAACGGATGGAGAAGGAACTTCTTGCCAACAACCTATTCAGCTCGGGATTCGGTGGTGGAGGCGACTTCCAAAAAGGCTGAAAAGTCGGGTCGGCGCCAAATTTTCGCGGGAGTCGGACAAGAATTCAGGGCCCTGCAAGATTCGCCACTCTTCCTTCCCACCACGACCTCCCTCACACGACACTGGGCTCGGCACCCGTACGTCAAGATGGCGCCCAAGCTGTGCGTGATCTGCAACAAGGAACGTGCCGTTCTGCGGCGGCCAAAGACAGCGCAGCAGATCTGCAAGGAGTGCTTCTTCTACGTCTTTGAGACCGAGGTGCACCACACCATTGTCTCGAACAACCTCTTCCAGCGCGGCGACCGCGTGGCCATCGGCGCATCGGGCGGAAAAGACTCGACGGTGCTGGCGCACTGCATGAAGGTGCTCAACGAGCGCTACGACTACGGCCTCGACCTCTTCCTGCTCAGCATCGACGAGGGCATCACGGGCTATCGCGACGACTCGCTCGAAACGGTCAAGCGCAACCAGCAGCAGTACCAGCTGCCGCTCAAGGTGCTTGGCTATGGCGAGCTGTATGGCTGGACTATGGACGATATTGTCAAGAGCGTCGGGCGCAAGAACAACTGCACCTTTTGCGGCGTCTTTCGCCGACAGGCTCTCGACCGTGGCGCAGCGGCGCTGGGCGTCGACCACATTGTGACAGGCCACAATGCCGATGACGTCGCCGAGACCGTGCTGATGAACGTGCTGCGTGGCGACATTGCACGCTTGGAGCGATGCACCGAGATCGTCACCAAGGGTCCTGACGGCAGCGAAGATCCCGAGCACGATGGCTGCGGCGCCAGTGGGTCCAACGGCATCGGTGTCGGAGGCAGCGGGATCCGACGCAGCAAGCCGTTCATGTATGCCTACGAAAAGGAGATCGTCATGTACGCCTACTTTAAGAAGCTCGACTACTTTTCCACCGAGTGCATCTACTCGCCCAACGCGTACCGCGGCTACGCACGCACGTTCCTCAAGGACCTCGAAGCCATTCGGCCGTCGACGATCGTCGACATTATCCAGTCCGGGCAGAATCTCAAGATCTCAAGCGTGGTCAAGCAGAGCCGCAAGACGGAGCTGCAGAACTGCGTGCGCTGCGGCTACATCTCGTCCAACACCGTGTGCAAGGCGTGCATCCTGCTCGAAGGGCTCGAAAAGGGGACGCCCCAGCTGGGGATCGGTAGCGAAAAGTCGAGAAAGATCAAAGACATCCGCACCGACAATGCGGCCAAGGCGCAAGAGGAGGCGGGCGGGGAGAGGAGGATCCCACAGTGGACAGGCGTCGCACGCAACGCTCCGCCCATCAGCACCCTTCCCTTTGTTCCACCCCAACGCAAACCGGATCTTTCGTTTTGATCTTTTCACACACACGCACGCACCCCGCACATGTATTTGTATCGTTATGCCTCCCTGTGGGGGCTTCATATAAGATTTTCACGAATCATCGTTGGCACGCCTGGCAAGGTCGGCATTCGCCTCGAGATCCCTGCCTTCGTCCCAGATCCACGTCTTGACCGTTCCATCGTCGCCACACGATGCCAGCAGGCTCTGCGCCTTGTTCCACACCGCACCGTATGCGACATTGTTGTTGGTCGAGAGCGAAGTGAGGTCCGACACCACCGATGTTGCTGTAGCCGTACCACTGGCAGTATGTCCACCCAGCCCCGCGCGTGCAGGCGCATGCAGTGTATCGCGTCCATGTCCCTCGAGCGTCTGCAGCACCTCGGAACTCTCCTGATCCCACATGTAGATCAAACCGTCTTCGGAACCACCGACGAGCAACGAGGTATGCGCGAAGCTGGAGCGGATAAAGTTCTTGCTGGTATTCTGGTGGCCCTTGAACCTCTTCAAAGGTCTGAGCATGCGCAGATCCCACAGGCGGTTCGAGTTGTCCTTGGACGAACTGAGCAGCAGCGAGCCGGTTTCGTTGATCTCCACCGACGTCACCTCGCCCAGATGACCCGTGATGGTGCGAATGCAAAGCCCCGACACCACGTCCCAGAACCGAATCGTCGTATCCTTGGAGGCTGTCACGATCAGGTTGCCGAGCGGATTGAAGATCGCCGAAGACACGCCGAGCTGGTGACCCGTAAACGTCTTGACGATCGAGCCGGTCTCCACGTCGTACATGCGCACGAGCTTGTCGTAGCCCGCCGAAACAATGTGGCGCTCGTCGGGGTGGAAGCGACAGCTGTACACATCGCCCACGCCCGCACGCAGCGTCGTGCGGCACTGCCCACTCTCCACATCCCACACCTTGACCGTCGAATCGCCCGATGCCGACGCAACGTGGCCACCCGTGCGTGTAGAGTCAACATCCCACACGCGGCTGCGATGCCCCTGCAACACGCCCTCGCACCGCCCCGTGTTGGCATGCCACAGCCGCACCGTATTGTCGCTGCTGCCACTCACGATCTTGCGCCCCTCTTCGCCGACGAAGCGCACGCTCTTGACGTTCTTGCGGTGGCCGCGCATGGTGTGCGCGACAGCATTGGGCACGATGAAGCCAGTGTAGTCGTGCAGCAGCCCCGAGATGACCGGCGCCTTCTTGGGGTGGTAGCGCGCGAACTCGACTTGGTACGCCACCGCCTGGTGGAGCATGGTGAGCAGGCGATGTGGCGGCACATACGTGTAGCCGCTGGTCGAGGCCTTGGACCCACTGGGCGCGGCACTTCCGTCGGCAAGCATGGCATCGTCGAGCAGGTCCGATGTCTCGCTGCCGGCACGGGCGGCGTTGGCAGCCGAGACGCCACCACTCGCAGAGCCCGAGCCTGGAAGCCCAGCCTCCTTCTCGAGCCAGTCCTGCTCGAGCATGGCTGCGAACTCCATGACGAGCTTCTCCCTGGCGGGCTGGATGCCCTCCCACGCGGCAAACGACGGTGCGTCGGTCACGGCTTTGGCCGAGAGGAGGTAGCAGAGGTCGCGAAACTCGGACGGATGCGGCTGGTAGTGCTCGAGCGGCTTGAGGCGCTTGTTGAGGAAGGTGAAGCCCTTTTGGAACTCGCGGTGCTCGATGTGTTCGAGGAACTGCTGCTTGTACACGGCGTACAGAAACGCCTTGTGATTCTTGACGAGCGGTTTCTGGAGCAGCTTGTCCACCTCGGGCCAGTCGCCTTCGAGGATGTGGCCGCGCAGCTTGCGTGCGTCCAGGCCGGCTTCCTCGCGCTCGCGCCGCTTGATGCCGGCTTCTTCCATGAGCAGCTGGCGTGTGGC